CCCGAAAACAACACAACAGCCATTAGATCCTGGCCATGAAAGCCTTCGCAAGCAATATTATACTTTCCTAATTGATTTCCAAGGTTAAGAAGAAATCTTCTTTCACAAGGACTGGAGAAGCATTTTTCTTATTCTATTTACTGCATTTACACACAATTATATCTCTCAGTTCTTCTAAGAGTGGTGTGTATTTTGATCATCACCATTCAATTTTATCCTCACAAGAACCCTCTAGGATGAGGAGAGTATGAGTAACTAATCATAGGTCTGAGCTTTACTGAGTTTTCCTCCAATTCTAATCTAATCTATGTCTCTCCTAAGTGTTCTGAATATCGATCTCTTCCATTCCTCAACAACATTGGCACAGGATGACAGCTGGAACATGGATGCTAACTTTGAATTGAGGCTAGTGTATAAGATTGTGGGACATGCTTACTGTTTACCAGGTGCTGAAGCTAACTTGTACTGAAATCCCACGATATAAAGAAAGTTAAAAATGTTTAAAATAAAACGAAGCAAAGCAAAGTGAAGCAAAGCAAAGTAAAGTAGAGGTGTTTATCTTGAAGTCCATATGATGTTGTGGATAAAGTGATGGACTAAGTCTCAGAAGACCTGCGTTCAAATCCTTGCTCAGCCATGAAATCTCCTTGAGAAGGTGGCACTGGTAAAATGTCCTTAAACATCTCATTTAAAACCATATTTTGGGGTTGCTATAAGTCAGGAAATGACGTAATTTTTAAAATGAAGATTCCAGACTTTAAAAAAATTGTTAACTTCCAGGACTAAGGGGGCATACTGGACTTCCCAGAATCCAATAGTGGAGGCACCCCAATTCAAGCACAACCTTTTGAGTTCATCCCAGAGGCGTTCAGGAAGCATGCTTTTCCTTGAAAAGAAACTGTGGTCTCCATAATGCTTTGTTTACACTTTTTAAATATAGTGCTTTTTCCTATGACTGTCTTACATAGATGTGCAACAAATTTACTAGTTTTTAAAATATATAAACAAAGTACACAAGATGTATGTGCATATACAGTTTTTAAGGAGAACTGTGCTTCCTGGAGGCCTCCAGTAACATGATTATCTTTAAAACAAGGAGTGGGGCTAGCATGCACCATGTTTACCAAAGGAAAAGGGACAATATTGTCAGCAGTACAATGAATTCATAGGGAATCAGTGTGGGGTGGAACTCTTTCCTCCATGCACCTCTGAGAGTTGCAGGCAATTATTACAACTCCCACAGCGTTGAGGGGCAGTTTTCTAATGATTCAAAGAAGCAGTGCAGTAATGACATGGAGGTTAGAGAGAGGCTTTACCTCCTTGTAGTTTGAGGTCTCCATCTCCCATAATTTGGCCTGTAGGAGAGTTCCTGCCAAATTATGGGACAGGGGGTTCTTGAATTCTGAAAATCCCATCCCTAATGGCCAGCAATTTGGAAAAATTTCCAACCACAAGAGTACATTTGATAAGACAAGTTATACTTACAAAAAGGGACATGGTGGTGCTGTGGGTTAAACCGCAGAAGCCTCTGTGCTGCAAGGTCAGAAGACCAGCAGTCATAAGATCGAATCCACATGACCGAGTGAGTTCCTGTCGCTTGTCCCAGCTCCTGCCAACCTAGCAGTTCGAAAGCATGTAAATGCAAGTAGATAAATAGGTACCACCACGGTGGGAAGGTAATGGTCTTCCGTGTCTAGTCATGCTGGCCACGTGACCATGGAAACTGTCTACGGACAAACACTGGTTCTATGGCTTGGAAACGGGGATGAGCACCGCCCCCTAGAGTCGAACACAACTGGACTAAATGTCAAGGGGAACCTTTACCTTTACCTTACTTACAAAAAGCATTTCTGCATATAGCTATTCAAAAGCAATTAAACTCACACTGGGAGTGATTTCTTAAAAATCTATGCTGTTGTTTATGCATTGAGATTTATATACTGTCGCATTGCACAGGCTACAAAAATTTGATTTACATATCTCCACAATTAATGTGTTTTTACATATCTAGAAACATATTCAGAGCTATCCAGATAACCCGTATTGTTGTTCTTGTTCTACACCATCATGTCACATCTCACTTATGGTGAATCTCATAGGCTTTTCAAAGTATATAAGATACAGTACTTCTGAATTTGTATTACTAGTGCCACCCCCAATTAGTTCCCATATCTGAGCAAAGATTTGAACCTACATCTCCTCAGTCCTAGTCTGTCACCACACTGGCTCTCATAACCAGTGCTAATGGATAGAATATACATATGCCAATTGTGAATTCAATCCTTCCAAATACCTTTGATTTATGAACGGTGGGATATTGTGCTTCTGTATCCATGATTCAAATTGCCAGGAAATGGCCTGATATTGCTACACAATATTGTGTCCATGTTGTAGGTGGCAGAGAAGGAAATTAACCATATGATAAAGTACAATACTTAATTGACAGCAATTTTTGGTGGTACTGCTTGATTTTCCTAAAATCAATTTGGAGTAGATAAATTTCCTAAAATCAAGCAAGAAAGGCTGTGTAAGAAAGCTGTCTTATTACATTATGTTATTATCAGCAATCATGTTTATTGGTAGATTAATGCACAGAAGACTATTTCTGCTTCTGAATGGCATATATTTAAAATGGCTTTATCAAAATAATTTAAGACTATTCTAAGCTATTCCAAAAAAATCAATATTAAAATTATATGTGCATTACTAGAGATTTATTCTGTTTATAGAGAGTATTTTGATATATAGTATGACATACTATAGCACTGAATGATTGGTTCCCATGGTAATCATCATTACTTTGCCCTCAGTGCTGCACAGTTTCTCATAGTCAATGTAATCTGACGTGTGACTCTCCATCTTTTCTGAGTACTGTATATCCATTATCACAGTTTTCTTTTATCCCTTCATGCCTTAGCCCCATAATTACAACTGAACACTTGCATGACTACCATCAAGGTTATATGAAACAGTTCTTCTCAAATAAGGGCAAATATCCCAGGTAGCACAGAATCAAGCAGAAAATGGCATTAGGAACTTCAAAGAAAACAGCTTTGAGGGCTCAATAAAGGCCCTTTAACCGTTCAGTTCTGTTAAGACATCTGGCAGTTAGGTAAATAGATTTAGTAGACCATAGTTCATGCATAAAACTGTGGAAGGACTGCTGAGTAGACTGTTAAAAAATCTTTAAATAGCATATTTTTTGGGGGGGGTATTCATTTTCAAGACATTTATTTTGTTACTCCCTAACCCATTTCCTTATAAAATTATTTCACTGTAAAAATAATGCATTTTTAATTATACTTTTTAGGGCAAGCTATGGCTTGAAATAAAAACATGAAAAACAAGACAATTGAGAAATGACAGTGAAGACAGAGTCCAGTATAATCCTATACAGGTACTATACTGGGAGTGCAGCCATCTTACTTCCTGAGGCAGTGTTAACCTTTCCACTAATCTTCACACTAGTGGGTTACACACTCCTCAGGCAGCCACAGGAATTTTCTCGGCACTGATTCACACTTAAACATTGCCACCACTCCTTTGTGCCATTAGGAAAAGTAATTAGTCTAAAAGGACAACCACCCGCAAAACCTAAGGCAAGTATTTCAGTGTTGTTCCTTCTATTTTGCCCCAGACAGAGTCTCTTCACCTCAGGTTGATGTCTTTTTATATTCAGGTGTTTAGTGGAAGGTGTTTTCTACTTGAGATAACCTTCTCTTTCTCATGATAACACATGACTTTATATGACATTGTATTTTTTTTTCTGTTTGTAGCTTGCTCAACTCATTTACACATAAAACAAAGAGGAAAGTTTGATTTAAACAAACAAAAATAATTTTATTGAGCGACCATGAGTAATAAAGGGAAAAGGTATAAAGGGGAATATATGAATGGTGAAGGGGAAAACAACAGTAAAAGGCAATATATTCTTTCTTTAATTCAAGGTCAAGGTAACATCTTCACAGACTTTAACTTTCTGAAAAATGTATTTTAGGTTTTCTAAAACAGAATCTCTTTTTTTGCTCTTAAAAACTGTTCACAGACCAGACTCCACCACACTATCTTCCAATCACACCCACCACATTTAATCATTCAACTACCAATCACACTAGCACCCCGCCTCTGTATATGCACCATACAGTCATTCAGAATTGTTCACATACATGTGTTTATGTATGTATTCACAATTAAGAGGCTGATGTAATGTCATTTGCCCTTGGCTGTAGTGAGTATAAGTATGGATGGATACATGTACAATTTGGTTCAGTTTGAGAGCCTATGCTATCCTGAACTCAACTGCTCCAAGAGCTCATTTACTTAGAGGCAGGGATGCTGCCAGTTTGTCTATTTGTCTTTGTCTATTTGTAAATAGACTTTGGTGATGGGAACTATGTTGTCTGAGTTTTTGTTCCACTAGCGTTGGAGAACTTGGACAGCCTGGAGAAGCTACACACTCCGCAATTTCCTTGACGATATATACTCATGGAGGTTTATGAAAGAGAGGAATTGCCACAGGCAGCAATCATAATAGTGAACATATGCGAAATAAATAAGACTTTAAATCCCACTAAAATTCCACAAAGAAGAGGCCAAGCATAATTTAGGCGGAGCAAATTCCATCATGATTGGAACCTTTTCTTGCTACTTCCCAGCAAAAT